GCAGTTGCAAAGCCAATGCCCATAATGATGAAAGATCAGAGATCACCAAGTTTATGTTCATAAATGACATTTCTTCAAGAAGAATTAACAGGACGAAAGAATGTTACTACCCCGCAAAAGTTAAAAATCGACAAGATCAATTTCACAGCTAAAAGACTTCCCGACCGCTGTAACAATTACCGGTGGTGTCTAAAAGTCATAGTGATAGCCAAAAATAAACAGGCAATGTCCTACTACTCAACGTTTTAGCCAAACCAAATCGTTTTCAGAAATTAACCACCAAAAGAACCCTTGAGAAACACTCAGTTCTCTCTCCTTTAATTATTCCTTCAATCCGTCCCTAAATTTGTTGGTTTCCGTAAAATAGACGTTTATTTATGAAAGCAGACATTAAAATTAATCAAACACAGAACATATCTTTGACGAAATCAATCTTCTTTGTACGACCACAGCTCGATCGCCTACCTGGAACCTCCTTCCAGAAATGATATTAGACACACATCAATCACCCACATTTTCATAAAAAACCGTCTGAAGCTGTCAGCAGATGGAACAGTAATTATCCCAGTTCACGCCAGCTAGATTACAAGAATAACTGCAGCATGAAATTGCAGCCCTTTGACCTCTTCCGGAAAAAAAAAAGCCAAATAGACACCAAAAAATTCAGTATGAAGCCTGCGGAAAACGGCAGAATTAAGCCGTAACCCTTATCCAATTTGCCCTATAAAAGCGAGCAACGCTCTAATAAACTTCTAAACCCAAGCCATTGAAGATTTTACTACTATAAATCCATTGAGTTGATACTGCGGAACAGTAACAGCACCAGGAATTCCTTCATCACCAATTTAAAAGTCATGAAACTATAATTATCAGTATTAAACAAAAAAACTCCTATAAAAATACAACACACACAATTCACAATGTTTTGCAAATCATTACCCACCACATACAAAGAAACCCTCAATCGAAAAAACTTGAAAGCTTTCACAAGAAGTAACAGCAACAAGTATCAACTTCAAAAAATAGGCCTGAGCCTAAAAACCATCAAAAGACTTCAACTCGCTTCCTCCACAAAATGAGGCTACGATAAAGTAAGGCAAACGGTTTAAATAAGGTCACCACATCTAAAATTCCTCCAATAATATGCAGAGCAAAAGCACCATAATAAATACTTGAAAAAGTAGAAGTCCCAAAAACAAGTGAAATAAAAAGCTGCTGTCGAGAAACAACTGAACTCTTATAAAAAAATGCGGACTCACAACTAGGAACCAAAGAGCTTATTAAACAGATTAAGGATAAGTATAAAATTTGATAATTCAAAACAAAAACTCCCGTCGATGAAATTTAAAATGATAACGTAAAAAATCGTATTGAAAACAGAAACAGAAATGCAACCAAAATATCACAACCAAGCATAAATATCTAAAAAGATCAAAAGTATATACAGATAACTTGATAAAAATCCTCTGGAATCTTCACTGTGCTTTGAAAAAACCTAAGTAATCTTGATCAATTCCTGGACATCATAAAAAGTGATGTTAACTTTATCAACACCATTTCCTTGATTAACAAATTGAATTGTTCAGAACCTCGTTCAACTCTTCCACCTGCTAACCTGAAATTAAACATGAAATGATGCTCAGTACTACAGTAAATGTGTTGAAATCAAATTTCAAAATCGTTTCAATTAGCAATGAGCTTTTAAGTGGATTCCGATGAATAAGTGAGAATAAGGAAAGGTTGCGGTAAAAATCGCATTCTTACAAATCAAAACATACGGTATCTTTCAATACTCCTTGCACTTTCTGGGCGTCAGATCCGTGAGGTGCAAGTTTTGATATAAATGACCCAAGCCCTAATCTATCTTTCTGAGTAATCATGCATTCGATAACGACATCTGCTGTTTCAGGATATAATCCAGCAAGCTTCTTCCTTTCATCTATGTCAGGTACTGCCCGTAGAAACCTACAGAGCAACTAAAAGAGAAATAAAGGATTTGAAGCTAACGTTTGAGACTAAAAACTTTGTCAAAAAGATTTCTCGTACCTCCTTCGGAGGGGTTTCATATGCAGTTAGCAACTGAAACAAATACCGCCAAGCAAAAGGGCAAAATATTTTGTTGCCTCCAAGAAGTTTTCTGCTAGTAAGCAGCTGTTCTATATCAGCCCATCTATAAAAAGAAGAGATAAAAATGAAGACAGTACAAAACAATGATATTTACTCTCACAGTTGTAACCCAATTGAACTCCAAAAGAAAGTCTTTTATCCCAAAACTCCCATAGTTGCAGCTTTCAAAAAGAGATACGTAGGACAACAGTGTGTAGTGTGGCCACTAAGGGACGGGGAAATAAACGAGAAGCTGACCTCGCCAGTCTGCTAAGTGCTGAGACAGCTGTCCAAATAAATTCTCTGTCATTCAGGTGGAACAGTTCCTTTATAGACAAAGGACTAGCGAAAGCATTCTGAAAGTACAAAGAACGCTAATGAATACAACAGCCAATAGCTTCTAAAACGACCGAGATACGAGCGATGAAAAATACTAATAATAAAATAAGAGGTAACTGACTACTGGAAGATCATAATGGTAAAGGCAGCAATAGTGTAATGTATTACGCAAAGTTTCGCCAACAATTGATTTCGTTTTAGGAAACCTGGTAAAAATACTAGAAGCAAGAACGGTATCATTATTGTCTGCAGCCTAAAAAACTTATTCTTAAGTTTTCAAAATTAAAAAAAAAAAATAGGCGATGAATTCCAAAACACCTAACTGTAACGCAAATTTTAAAATGACACACGATTCTTTAGTAAAAACAGAATCTCGCAAAACAGTAATGCGGAAAAAAAAAAATTCGAAATCTGCTTCATACCACAGCATAACATTTATCAAAAAAGAGAGCTGACGGGATTTATCTCTTGATGGAACAGCATCATGTTAACAAAAAAACAATGAATAATTCTCAAACTAACGTCAATTGGTATCTGTCTCTCCAATAAATCAATATATTCGTTAACAATTTTAGCTTCAGAATTAAGCGATGCACTGCTGAAACTGCTAATTAAACACTTTTTCAATCGCTGAACCTTCTGTTCAGGTGTATGTTGACGACAGGCCATTGAGAACTCAACCATACTAGCCTCCTCATGCCTCCCAAGAGCTCTAAATTCAGTTTTGCCAGTAGCACCTGTTTTTCTTTTTCCACTCATCCAATAATTTTGCTGCAGATAAACGTTGCCAAAAGCGCAAAATTGAAACAAATGAAAAGAACTGCCTACGATAAAGTCATCGCCAGTGTGCTATAATCGTTGAGCTGCTTCAATAAAGATAAGTAATGATCCGCAGCAACAACATTTTCTAACAGAACCTCGCGAAAAAGCGACTCCGAAAAAGTACGTTTCAGGAAAAGAATAACCTAAAACAGTTATTTTTAAAATCCATGTACCCGTCTACTTCGTTGTAATCATTATCTACTAGCATAAATTGTACTGTTCATAAGTATGCCAAAAAAAACAGAAAAATCCTAACAAACCGTAGTTCCCAGTAAAATTTCATTCTCTCAGAAAATAATTATTTCAGAGCGCTAAACCTAAAAAAATTTGACCGAAACTATACAACTGTGGGAAGCAAAGGGCATTCAATAGTTAATACTGTGCGAAGAACAAAACCAATAAAAATTATCCAGAAGCTTACAGCATTAATTGCATTACCGTCCAAAGAGTCAAGAGCTGAAGACAGTAACTCTAATTTCTCCTTCTTACTTCGATATAGATCTAAAGTAACTGGCTCACCGTTTCGTAGTCGCCGGACTGTAACCTCAGGATCTGCAGCCGTATAACGTTCACGTTTCAACTGCTGTAATAATAACATCATTCTACTCAAAGCTTTGAAGAAAATTCAAAATTTGCCTTTGAGAATTAAAAGACAACCGGATCTCACCTCGAGATACCGCTGTAATCTACGATGTTCACTTTTCAACCGAGCATAGTCAGCCTGTGATACTAGCTCATTTGAAAAAGAACCTACACTTCCTTCAGAGATAATTGAAGCAGCGGATTTAACAGGGAAAACAACACCAGTTTCATGGGGTTTAGCACACTAAAATATTCTACACTTTACCAGGCAAAAACTTACGAAAAAACAACAGCACGCAATCAAGCCAGCGCAGAAAAATAAAGAAAACTCGGCTCAGCAAAAAACAATTTTTCTTGCCTACCTTTTCGGCAGCTACTTTTTCTTCAACACGAGACCTACGATCAGCATTGAGACTGAGCCGTCCCACATCAGCAGTATAGGGAAGCTGTAAAAAAAAATAAAAAAAGAGAGAAATGCACAACAAAAGAACGAGCACAGTATATTCGCAATTGAAAAATCAAAATGGCTGTAACAACCATGAACGAATGAAAAAAAATTACCAAATTGTTTCCATCATCTGTCGGCAGTTCACTGTCTGCATTGGAAGACAGATCATCAGCTCCAAAACGGACTTGACTCTCGAATAAGTCCTCTAATGCAGCTCGAGCAGCTGCCTAAAACGTTCGACTAAAGTTTAGAACCAGACTCCTATCTAATGACAATAAACACTTCCAGTTGTTCAACGTTCAAAAATTCTTCGGGAAAAAAAGATGACCTCACCGCATTAGAAGCTAATGGAGGGTCTTCAAAAAACTCTGAAGTGGAAGTGCCACTTGTGTTCCAGTAACTGTCTTCTGGATCATCGAAATTAAACTTCTTATGCGCAGCCATCTCATATTTCAGTTCAAAAACAAAGACAAAGATTTTCCACAAAGCATACAAAATAAATCTTTAAATCATTGGCTTACACCTAAAATAAATGTGTTAAGCAGAAAAAAAATAATAGAAGAAAATTATTTTACAAATGTTGCAAAAGAAGTCAATATTTACAACGATGAAGGGATCAGAAAACAAGGAACAGGGCAAAATTTTTATCGCTATGTCAAGTAAAATAATCGCAAAACATGTTCAAATATACATGAAAGCTAACGTTTCCCTTTTCTTTTTTTGCTAATGGCAGTTTGGTAAATAATAGATTGCATGTTAGGTTTTTTT